ATTTTGAATTTTTTTTAGGAGAGGGGAGAGGATGTTTGCTGTCTTTTTTAATTCTTTCACCAAGAAATCATCTCATATTCTAAAAACATCCCTATTTTTTTTCCTTATCTACAATATTTCTTCATTGAAAAAAAAAGAACAGAGAAGAAAGAGAGAGAGAAAGAGAGAGAGAGAGAGAGAGGCGTGAGTGAAATACAGAGGGAAAGAGATGAGGATTAAATATATGGTGAGAGAAACGTGAGATTGGAGTGAAGATATATGAGATTTGTTTTCTTATTAGATGAGAGTGTTTATGTCTATATACTAATTATTTTATTTTATTTATATTATATTTTTGGGTCAAATGACCTATACCTATATTCATCTAGCAATTAGGATCTCTACCTATATAAATCTAAAATAAAGGGTGTCTAAGCAAATTTCCCCTTTGGAAATTTGGAATTTCGAAAATAAGAATGAGAAGTTCGTTACAATAGAATTTCTGTAAACATGATCAGTAGAAACCAAAATTTCTATTTTTATATCGGCCATCTATAAGATAAATCCATAATAATATTATAATAAATGTAATTTTCTAATTTATATTCTTAAATTAAAATCGGATTGAAAATATATATATAAGATTTTTATTCAAACAAAGTTGGAAAATTAGAAATTGGGGTTTTAGGAAATAAAAAATATTGTTAGAAAATAGAAAATTTAGAAAATCTAAACCGATAACAAATAAAAAATTCCGTTTCCATTTCCACTTTCTATTTTGTTTCTTTTCGGGAATATGAAAACCATTCTTAATATGTGCATGGCGACTATTTTCATGGTTTTGTAGAACGTACACTTGGTGAAATACGCCATGTAGTTATACACTATTAATCTACACATAATAACACACTCATATGTATGTGTGTTTAGTTGACAGTTATTTATGTAGATTTACGGTTTAAAACCACATGGTGTACTTCACCAGGTGTACTGGTGTAAGATCTCATAAGCCCGATTTTTCATGCGTTTTTCATGTATGATTGAGATTGTTAGATGCGAATAGATTTTTTCTTAGAATACAAACTCTCTTTAAAAGAGAAACCGTATTTTGTTTGAAGAAGAACGTGGAATTCCATACTCCTCATTAATAATTTTCGATGATGTCATTCAAATGATTAATTTAATCACAATTATATATATAACTAATATTTTTCTACGATAAGATAAAAGAACGAACGAGTTCTTCTTCTGTCATCATCTATTATTTGAACGAACGAGTCCCTCAAGGGATGGCCTAGCGGTTGGAGCAAGAGAGCTTGTGTCAATTGACCCAAGTTCAAATCCCATTGCCAACGGTCGCTAGGTCGAGCTTGTCACACATGGTTAGCCTAGTGTGGTTTACATCTCTCATATGGTTTGCAAGCTATTATACGAGAGTGTAGGTTTACCCAGTGCACCTATATGGTTGGCTGCGGGTTCCTTCATTAAAAAAAAAAAAAGAAAATATGGAAATATGCTTTAAACGTGTGGTACAAATTAAATGTCTAATATATTATTATGATCAGAAGATTTTTTTTTTCTTCTCAAGTTTTGCCTATACGATTCTATTTCTTCATTAAATTCTCGATTCAATGTTTTTTTTTAATGATTGTTTATTGTTAGGAATATTGTTGCTAGTTGGACTAAATGTTTCTTTCGATAACGGGGCGGTTAGATAAAACCCTTCAAATATTACGATAATAGGGACACTTTCATTGATATTGATTATTTTCACTATTTGAGATGCATTTATGTTTGTTTCTTTTTTATTTTAAATTTCAAAATTGTCATTCCATTATCTTCTTCACACAACCATTCACAATTTTTTTTTTTCCAAAATTAATTTTCATCTTTTTTTTTTTGATTTTGTTTTTATTTATTTTTCATTTTCTTGAACTTCTTGTTTTTTTTTTTTTTTTTCTTTATTGTTTTTCCTAACCGACTACGATATTAATCAACTATAATGTAGTTGATTAAATAATATACTACTAAAATCGATATGAATGATTGAACTGACAATAAACGAAAATAAGTGCATCGCCATCAGTGAAACCGAACACGATTCAACAGAAGAATCCAAACAATAACAAACAACCACAGTAAATGTTTAAATTGGCAATAATGCACTCACAAAATATAGATAAAGGAATGGAATATCCCTCATCTTTTTCATTACTTAATCTTGGCATTCAAATTATAACCAATTGTTTGGTTTCAATAATTGTAAGTTTATATTAATTAATTCAAGTTGCATATTTCAATTACAACTAGTAGGAAAATATTCGTATGTATATAATACTTGCAAGAAATTTCAAATAAATAAACAATCGAAGAGTTGAAGGACGTGTTTGGGCGGTGATCAGGTAGAAGGTTTGAAACTAAAAAGATTTGCCAATATCTTCTCCACAAATTGCAACATTAGATTAAGCATAATTGCAAATTATAGAGTATTATTGGCCATTAATTCGCAAGTGGATTAAAGAGATTAATAAAGACTTTTTAATTTTTATTTGTTTATTTGATAGATACCACTAAGAGCAACTCCAATGGAGGCACTAAATGAGGTATCAAACTAAAAAACTACCACTTTGATGCTCTAAAATTAAAAAAATCCTTCTCCAATGGAGGCATTAAATGGAGAATTATTTTGATACTCAACCACCCCGAGGTGCAAAAATACTCCCGGAAAATGAGGTATCAAAAACATAACCACCTAATTAACCTATCAGTATTTGACACGTGGCATTTCAAAATATAATTATTCGTATACTTAAAATTTGATAATCTATTTGATACTTGTGGTTGGAGTGAATATTTTTTCAAGAAGTATCAAAGTATTATATCAAGCATCAAATAAATATTTAATGCTCCATTTTGATATCTCTCCATTGGAGCTGCTCTAAACAGTAAACTTCTAGGTACGTACTTATCTCCTGTCACGTATTTTCTATTCGAAGATTTTCGTGTACAAACAACTTATCTTAGAGAATATTCCATTCTTAACACCATTTTTTTCATTAAATCCTATTTCTTATGGTGACAAAATGGGGTTATCTCCATATGTAGTACGTCGTTCTACCGTTTAACAATTTATTTTAACAAAATAGTATATTTGGTCTCCTACCAATTCTATTAAATTTTACACCAAATAAAAAATCATTAATATTTCTATTCTTGATAAATGAAAATGTAAATATATAGAAAAAAATATATAGAGTGCTGCTATTTCCACCTCCAAAGTATCTCAATTCACCACCAAAGAAAAATAAAATGTCTTAAATACCCCTCAAATTTATAATTCACCGCATTTCCTTATATTCGTTTAGTCCTCTCATGTGTTATAAGTTATTTCTATTTTATTTTATTTTTCTAATTTTTTATTTTTTTAATTTTTCTATTATTTTCTTTTTGCAATAAAATATTTATTACAATATATTGAAACTTCCATATCTAATGACCTACGGATTATGTAAATTTTTTTAGGAAACAAAATTATATTAAGCTAAACTAGCCAATTCTAGAGAAAGTTCAGGACCTTCCATACAAAGCACTCTTAATTTATTTCTCCAAGAATGTGAATTTCTGTTCTTTTTGACCTTCAGAAATATTTTTCTCTGCCGAAAATATTATTCACTTAAGGTGGAGAGGGTGAGATTTTCCGATAAAGACTCCAACGAAAACGGTGGGGTCATTTTTATAGATATTTTAATTAGTTTTAGTGGTGGACGATTTATAAATTTGTAAAAGATATAGGTGAAAAAAGAAAAAAAAGGTAAAATGAGAATTTATTTAATTTGATGGTGAAATAAGATATTTTGAGGTAGAAATAGCACGTCTCAAAATATATACAAGTAGTACGGGCATACCCGAGCAAGTTCATCCTTCTACAAAACTAAAAGGTAAGTAACCTAACACTATTACATTGCACATGTGCTAATGCAGATAGAATAACTCTCAAAAGATCAACTCAAACTAGAGGCTATACTATTACCTAACAATTATATACAGAATGTTAGGCCTTCAAATACATACACCTAATTGAAAAGAAGGCGTGTCGTAAACTAAGAATAACTAACACCCAAACCCTTCGATAAGCGGTTCGGGCCTTCGATACTACCCAACTAAGGAAGTTTGGGCCTTCAATTCACCCGTAAGAAGCTTTTTTGGGTCTTCAATAAATACACCAATCATGAAACAAAGATTGGGCCTTCAATGCTAATCTACTCCGTCGGTACGGTGCGCATCTCCAATCCGTTTGTGGTGAGTAACGGATATCCCTTGCATGATGTGATGTTCGTTGTCGTCCTTGTTCTTTCTAAAGACGTGAAGTTGAACCTATAAAACAGAGATGGAGGAAGAAAATCAAAATATTTAGCAAATGGGATTATTATTATTATTATTTTTTTTTGCCAAAAATAAAATTTTGTTAATGGAGTATATGCCTCATTAAAATTTTGTTTGGCATAACAAGGAAAGAGTGCCGCTAATTGTTTACAATAATAGAAAAACTCCTACGATAATTATACAACCATATTCGATCCAAACGAATTATACAACACAAAATTGTTTGGCTAATTTTGTGTTGCAAATAAGTTAAAAAATGGATTGGTAAACTCAAATACCTGATAAGTGGTTTTTGCGTTGGCGTATGCACAGAAGCGATCGATGGTTCAATAAGTTCAAGAGGCTGCACAAGAAAAAAAGAATAATCTCAGATTCTATGTTACATATAATTTTGCAGTAATTCAATACACAGAGCAGGAAGCGACGTAGCAACTAGCAATCTGATAACATAATTTTTTTTTTGAACATGAAAAATAAAAAAGTTGGAGTTACTTTAATCAAAGGATAAAATACAAAAAGAAAATCCCACATGTTAAAGGAAATGTGCACCAAATCCATTTATGTTCATTTTATCATGTAAATTTTCCTGTATTTCACAAAATATCCTTTCCCGCCTTATTCGTTATATATATATATATATATATATATAAAATAAGAGATGTATAATTATACTTGATTCTGAGAGATGTTTTAATTTTTAAAGGTCTAGATTAACCTTTGTATGAAAAGTAATAGAAAATCTACTCTTATTTCATTTTTGGGTAAATTATGTCTAACCCCATGAGGTAAGGTCAAATTACAAAATACCCTTTAATATTTGAGTAATTACAACTATGTATTTTCTTACGAACAAATCCCTCCATCAATTGGTAAATTCGACACTGTAAGGGTAGAGGTGTAAGACAATACATATTTGGGGATATTCTAATTTGAACTACCCAAACAAGAAGGGTATTTTCGTAATTTAACCTTACCTCAAGGGGTGGCCGTAATTTGCCCTTTTCATTTTTTCTACACAAAATACCCTTTCATCTGTTGCCACTCACTTTTGTAGGTGCAAAAGAGGAATATTCATTACAATAAAATAGAGTATGTGTGGAGAAAAATAAAACATTACAATAAAGTCGAATGATCGAATAAAGTAGGAAGAAAAAAATGATTATGTACAGACGAAAACAGAAGGCGTAAAAAATCGACGAGACCTCAAGCTCCTGCTGCATGTGAACGTTGCATCCGCTGTTTCCCGTTTTCGAAGCTCCCGAATCTTGCTCTGCAGTAAAGACCATCAACGGCTTAGAACTACTACTATTCGAACGCAGGCCTTCTAGAAGAAGCAGTTGCGAGGAATCAAAGTTGCCAAGAATCTCACTGATAATATCTAAATGTACGGTATTTTCATTTCTTTTCGTCTTCTTGCTGATGGTATCGATAGCAGCATCTGTCGTGCATGACCTTGACCTT